TGCACAGCCATTCAGCTCCTATATGATGCCTTTCTTCACCCCCTTCAACCGCGTGTGGCCTCCAGACCCTCCTCCGCGCCTCGGGATGCTTAGGGACGCGTCTCTCTGCTTGCTATTTCCTGGCATGCTCTCTCTCCATTCTCCACAGTTCCTGGAAGGGGGGATACCTGGGGCCGGGCCATATCCGAGAGCATTCCTTGGAGGGGGAGCTATACCCCTGGTGGGACATTCCCTGGGGCTGGGCCAAGGGTCACCCTCTGACTCTGTGGCCAAGGGTAGACAGGTCAGAGGTCGATCCTGGGCCTACTCTGGGGCTTTTCCCACTGGGATTCCGGGAGCCGTTCTCTCCTGGAAGTCCTCTGAGGGGACCAAGCTCATAGAAGAAAGGCGTGGATCCTCGAGCCGGTGTGTCTTTGTTTCTAGGGCAGGGAGCAGCAGGGCCGAGACAGGGCAGGGCTGAGCATTTCCAGTGCTCCCAGAACAGGGTCTCCTTGAGGGGCCTCTGCCTCTATCCAGGATTATTTTTTTATGACCAGGAGGCTGAGGTCCCTTACAGGCGGCCTCTTACTCTCTCCTTGAGCCCTTCTGGAGACGTCTCACCTCACTCAGTTCAAACTCAGGATTCCTCCCTAAGGACTACAGAAGATCCCTGTTCATCCTCTTCCAAGGCTGGGTGGCCCATAGACACTTCAGTAGCATGAAGAGAAGCTGGAATAGAGTTCTGTGTTCTGTACCTACCACCCCCCCCCTCAAAATAGGTCATTGCATGCCTAAGGGGTTCATCTCCATCGCCACAATACCGTCACTGTTAATCACATTAAACAGCTATGGCAGCCAGCCCCGGCACACAGGAGTACCCTGAATGGAAAGCCTTGAAGCTGTGAGATGATTTTTTGAGCAAGGCAGGGAGGATCCAGGCCCCACCCATCCCCTTCCCACTCCTTTGCACCCCGTGTCTCCCTTCCTTCCCTATTCCCTTCTTCCCCACCCTCCCTCCTTCTTACCTGTGCATCTTGCATCGGCCATGGCTTCAGGATGGCCTTGCTGGTCTCCGAGCTCATACAGGTGGGTGGAAGTCCAGATGAAGTTTGCCGCTCAGGTCTCAGATTGTGTCTAATGATGTGGTCCCCTGGGTCCAGCACTGGGACTCAAGGTTTATGGGACAGCTGGGGGATAGGTGATATTTTTTCTTTCTTTTCTTACTATGGGGCCAACCCAGGTTACCCAGGCATACCTGATTAAGCTAGTAAAACTCTGCGTCAGGGTCCTGTGTATGTGCTGTCACTGGCTCTAGAGTTGATGTGCCTGGCCTGGTGCCTGCAGTGGCATCTTATAAGGGGAGGCAAGGGAGGGCTCAGGAAGGGGGGGGGGTCAAGGGAGGGCCTATGCTCCTCTTTGTTCCTGGATGCTGTCAGAGCTCTCTGGTGGGGATTGAAGGCAGGAAGTAGGGGTAGCTCCTCAGTGGGTGGAGTCTGCAGCCAAGGGCTGCCCTCTGGTTTTCACCTTTACAGGGGTGGAAGTGACATCACCATCACCTAGCAGGGACTTTCACACCAATTTCATTCTTTTCTTTTCTCTTCCGCAGGAGAAAAAAAAAAGGTTTGTGTTGTGCTTTTCAATCTCTATAAGTGGCTCCGCCGATAACCTGATAACCTACCGTTTTTAGCACGTTACAGCTGGACCTCCTCCTCCTCCTGCTAATGAGGACAAAGTTCCTGCTGGGTAGATTGGCAGGCCAGCGGACCTTTATTGGTCCTTTATGGTCTTGTGTCTATGAGGGCTGTGGGTAAATGTGCCCACCTCTGCAATCAACATCATTGGCAGCCTCTTGGCAGGCTGCTGGATCAGTGATGAGTTACTTCACCTTTGCTTCCACTTGCTAAGGAAGTCTTTGTGTCCCCTGGCAGTAGCAGGGATATAACAGTCATCCGTTCATCCACTATACCAGAGAAGTTCTCACCAAGCAGGGACAGAATTTTTTTTTCTTTTTGGCCCAGTTTTGTTGGAGGTGCCCAGGTAAATTAAGTATAAATTACAGGGCTGGTAACATTTGTTCTCCCAACCCCCGTTAGGATCTCAGTACCACCTCAAGGCTATGGACCCTCCTTAGGAATTCCTAGCAGAGTGTTCTGTGGGGCAGTGAGTACTTCAGGAACCAAGGACCCTGATGATAGTTTTGTATTATCTCCTCTTATGTTAGTGGGAAAATAGTCACCCTACCCCTTTGAGCCAGGGACCTCTGTGAGCGCTTTACTAAGGTGATACTGGAATTCTTGCAGCTGAGCCTTGCGCCTCATCCCACAATATGTCATTTGGGGCTTTTGTAGATAGATGAATAGACAGCATAGCATCCTCTATCTCTGGGGGCTGTAATATCAGCTGTGTGTAGGGTCAGGCATTGGGTTCTGTGACCATAGGTGGCATGGTTAAGGTGAGAGGATCAAAGCCATGAGAAAGGCTCCCCAAGTCTGTCTGTTACTCTGCAGTCATCCCTCAACCACTATTTTCTGAATACATGATACCAGGAATCCCTTAGAAAGGATAGAGGGTAGAAACTCTGTGTTGGTTGCTCTCATGATATTTGTGATCCCTTTGAGATCTTAGGGAAGCCCCTCTCCCCTGCCATCCTCTCCCATCCTCTACAAGAGAGATAGGGAAACAGTAGGGTAGGTTGTCTTGTATTCAGGAGTCCATGGGAGACACTGAACCTTCCTTAAGAGCAGGAGGAAGTGCTGAGTGAGGCTGAGCCCCTGACCTTGAACCTGGGATCCTACCCATGATCTCCTGGTGCTACCGTCAGGGGTAGAGTTCTTGTTATGAGGCTAGGCAGAAGCCATTTGCCCATTAGGACCCATAAGGGCACAGTATTCCCAGTGTGGGCTGCAGAGGGCATGGAGGGCTGTAGTTGTTGGGTTCTAAGGAGTGTTATACTTCACCCAAGCTCAAAGACCCTGCTGTAGATGGGATCAAAGAGCTGAGAACAGGTGGGTAGTGGGATGTCATGCTGGGTATCTAGGGGCTTGACACATTCTCAGGTCACAGGAGGGTCTCTTGGGGTTAACTCAGGCAGGTTTCCAGGCAGAATGTAAAAGGCAGAGGTAGTAAGGGGCCCTTGGGAATGAGGGCTCTACTCATTGCACCACCTCGCTATCTCTGAGGTCACACTAAGGGGGTCCATGGTTTTATATTCCTAGCTTGTGTGCAGATTTCCTGGGTAAGGAGTATAGAGTATGTGAGTAAGGGACTCTTTGTCCCAGTTCCCTATTCTCTCAGGGGCTCCTTCCCCTCCCCAGAGTATCCCTCAGGATAGCCATTTTTAAGGCAAGGATCCATACCCTCCCCGCTGGAGCCAACTATGGACACGGTTCCTCGGGGGGGGGGGGTGGGGGGGCACTGGACCTTCCTTAAGAACAGGAGGAAGTGCTGAGTGAGGCTGAGCCCCTGACCTTGAACCTGGGATCCTACCCATGATCTTCTGGTGCTACCGTCAGGGGTAGAGTTCTTGTTATGAGGCTAGGCAGAAGCCATTTGCCCATTAGGACCCATAAGGGCACAGTATTCCCAGTGTGGGCTGCAGAGGGCATGGAGGGCTGTAGTGTTGGGTTCTAAGGAGTGTTATTCTCAGATCCTGCCTGTTGTCCTTCCTGAGCTGTGAGCGTTGGGCACAGTCTAGCCCTTCCTTATTTGTCTTGTGACTAGAAGGCTGGAACCAGATGAGGACTGGGATTTCAGGGTACCCTCCCTCTGCCTCATGAACCCCTGAGTCGATATCCTATGGCAGTTGAGGAGCGTAGTGGCTTCCCTCCCTTTGAGAGAACACAGGAGGCCTGTTGCTCTATGTCTTCATGAGCTGTGTCAGGAGAGTCAAGCCCTCCTCCCACTCTCCTCCCCCTCCCCCCCCCCCCCCCCCCCCCCCCCCCCCCCCCTGCCCACCCCAACCCTCTCTTGACCCTCTATCCTTTCTGACCCACCCCATGCTCCTTGTTCTCCTGACCTGTCTCCTGCTATCCACCCTTTCCCTTTGAAAACAAACCACAAAGTCAGATCATCTTTTATTCTCTTTATTCACGGGGCAAAAGCAGGTGTGGGTTGGGAAAGCGTGGGAAGATTCCCCTTCCCATGGCAGTGAATAGCGGGTTTAGTCAGAGCACTCTTGGCTCCTTGGCACAGTAGGCTGGGTATCTGGGGCTTCACCAGTGTCTCTTGGGGGCTCCCTTTACGTAAAGTCTCTTGGCCCCTGCACTGTCCACATGTCAGAGGAAAAAGGGAGCCCCGCACAGTGCTACCATCCTTTCTTGGGTCCCCTGAGTCTCAGGGACCTTCAAGGTGTATAAGTCCATCCGGTAAGTCACACTGGTATGTCCAATGCTCCTTGGAGCAGTTCTGCCCAGGTAAGATCAGAGTTCAGGGACAGATGAGGTGTCAATCGAGCTGGACCAGACCTGTAGTGGGGATGGGAGGGCTTGCTTGTGGGGTGGGCTGGGGTTGTGGAAAGCATGACACCACAGCACCTCGGGAGGCTGGAAGGGTGTGGGACAGTGCCCGGGGGAGTCACAGCACCTGTGTGGAGGTAGAAGTCAGTGGAGCACCCAAGGTCAGTATCCCAGGATGCACAGGTGCCCGCATGTCACTCGGGTGGTGGTGGTGGTGGGGTCCCTGGCATCTGCTTGCTTGGCTGTACCTGCTGTGTGTGCTTTGCATCTGGCCTGGGGTGACGGGGTCACTGTTGCTCATCACCGTTCTTTCCCCATTGTTCTCACTCCTTTTTGTGGACCTGGGGCCCAGACAGTTTGGACAGTTAGGGTTGCACAGTCTTTGCTGGTTCTGGGACGCTGGTAGTTGACTAGTCCTTTAGCACAGATGACGTTGCTGGTTAATGAGTTGACGTTGTGGTCCTTCACAAGTGGGTTCCCCATGGGTTAGGAGTAGCAAGAAGGGGCACTGGATTTGAGCAAAGCTGTCTGAGGCACAAGGGAAAATGGCAGGGACTCGGTGTGTTTTCAGTCAAGTTCGTCATCCGAGTCAGTTATCTCTTCTAGTCTTGCCAATCCCATGGCTGGGTAAGGCAGTGCTGCCATTCTGTAGGCCATGGTCAGGAACCGTGTGAGGGCTCGGGCCACCTGATCTCTGCTAAGCAGAGTAAGGCGGCCATCGGCGCCAAGGGTGTAGAGTAGCCGGTTGTTGAGGAAATCTAGGACCTCTGGGTCCAACAGATTTCGTGGGCGGAAGGTGACCGCTTCTTGGTCACCAAGCAGGTCCTCTTGCACGTCGTTGTCCTGCGCGTCCTGCGAGGTGTCTTGCAGGCCGTCATGCAGGCCACACTGACGGTAACGTTGCAGGTCGTCTTGCAGGGCTTCTCGCAAGACGACATCTTCATCTCCAACGACGTGCAGTTCCAAGTACCGGTGCTGGTGTGGGTCAGGGAAGATGTCATCCTCAGGGTTGACTCTGACTCCGAAGAACTCACACAGAGTCAACCAGAACGCAGGAGTGAATTGCAGCCCCGGTCCATGTTGGGCACGCAGAGCATTCCGACGCCAGCGCCTCGGGCGCAGGAACAGCTCAGCCAGTTCTCGAACTGGAAGGGCGTTGGCACCCACTAGAGGGGGCATCTGGCTGAAAAACTGAATGATGGCGGTGGCCATGCCACGAGTAGCAATGAGGCTCGAGTCCAGGATGAGTCGGAGCGTGTGGCGGTGCTGAGGCCTGGCCACTTCCAAAGAGGGGGCAGGCGGTGGGCTGACGGGCCGCCTCGCTCTCATCATCACCAGGAGGGCTGCCACACCCAGGGCAGTCTTCCAATAGAACACGCCACGGAAGAAGTTTAGGACAACAACCCGGATCTGGGTCACGCTGAAGTTGACCAGGAAGCCATGGTAGATCTGGTCCATTGGGATGGCAGCCAGTACTTCCCGCACCAAGTTCTCCCGCATCCGCTGCCTTTCTTCACTGTCCTCCTCGTTCTCAGACTCGAACTCAGACTCGCCCTCAGACTCGCCCTCGAACTCGCTCTCGAAATCGCTCTCGAACTCCGCCACGAACTCGTACACGAACTCGGCCACGATCTCGCCCTCGGACTCGCCCTCGGACTCGCCCTCGGAGTCCCCTTCGGAGTCCCCTTCGGAGCCCCCCTCAGAGTCCCCCTCGGAGCTGCCTTCAGAGCCCCCCTCGGAGCCCCCTTCGGAGCCCCCCTCGGAGCCCCCCTCGGAGCCCCCCTCGGAGCCCCC